CTCTACATGTGAAAGAATCCTCCGTGCTGCTGCTGGTGGTGGTTGGAGGAGAGGACCGGTGTGTTTACAGCCTCCATCCAGCTCAACAACGTGTCTGCTGCCATAGCAACTGAGCGGAGCAGCTCTCAGCAGCGCCCCCTGCCTGTGCAATGGATGTCACTCTTAGCAACGACCAATGAGAAGTTGCCATCCTCCGGCAGCAGTCGAGTGAAGATGGAGGAGCAGCGGTGGGTGGGCCCTGGGCGTCGTGCATCTGCCAGTGATAGGACAGCGCCGTCGTCAGTCCGGCCGTGTGCGCGCTCTGATTGGTGGAGCGGCCTGACTCATGTCTGCGGCTCCCGCGGCTCGAACCGAGGCATAAAGACGACTGTGCACTTTCACATCAAACTACATCAAAACTCTCATTATGCCTCGGCTCGTGTTGTAGCCAAGTCTTTATTGCTGCTGCTGTGCACGAGTATGCACACGTGCACGCGTGCGTAGAGGAGGACACCCTGCTGCTGCTGCTGCTGCTGCTGCTGCTGCTGCTGCTGCTGAAAGAGAAGCTGTCATCAATAAAAGCTGCAGACTAACTAGCAGCTTTTAACATTTGCTTCCTCGGTGCAGAGCCGGGACTCAGACTCAGACCCAGACCCAGACCCAGACCCAGACTCAGACTCAGACTCAGACCCCTCCTCTGCAGGGCGGAGCTGCATTTCCATTTCGTATTTGGTGTTTCTTTATTTATTTTTTTCCCTGCCCTGATTCCCCGCTCTGACACGTTTGCTCTGAGTGAGTGGCATTGGCACTCTGTCAATCGCTCACCGCCGCTGCCATCAAACAACATAAAACACACACAGGCTGAAAATATGAGCGCGAAGGAGAAAGATTTTTTTTTTTTTTTTTTTTGCGCATCGCCTTCACACGGCGTTAATTAATTTCTGCTCACTCTTGTTTATTTTTAAAAAAGAAGAAAAGCTTCCAACTTTTTCCGGTACCTTTCACATTTTTACACCTCACAGCTGAACATTGTGTGTGTTTTCCTCCCGCCAACTGCGGCACATTCAGAGTTGGCAACAGCTGCGAGACAAACATTTTTCTGCCTCTTCTTTTGATTTGTTTCCACGCTGGATATTTTTGTTTCCTCGAGCTTCTCCGCGAGGATTTGGACATTTTTGGAGAGACCTGCGCCGGGATCCCGTGAAGAGCGCTGATAAATGAGAGATCAGCGACGGAGAGTTCGAGTCCGCGGCAGCCGTCAAACCCGGGGAGAAGACAGATCGGAGTCAGGATCCGTGCGGGGAACCATGGACCGTCGATTTTGACACAGAACTTTTAGGAAGAAGGAAAAAAAATAAAAAAATAAAATAGAAAATTTTTTTTTTTTTTTTTGAAAAATTGAAGATTAAAAACATTTTTTTATTTTTGGGCATTTTTCTACAAACACACTCTCTCTCTTTCTCTCTCGCGCGCGCGTTGTCACTTTGGACCGTGCGTCAAAAGCCGAGCGGCCAAGGAGAAGTTGGATGAAGATTCACGGCATGAAAACAGCGGACAAACAATAAAAGAATCCGGGAGAATTCCAGAGAAAAGGACAACAAATCCACGCGTGTTCTCCGTGGACCCGCGGCTTCTCTCCCTCCAGTCTGCGGCACATGTTCTAGCCCGGTTCGTATATGAGTTTTTCAATTTGTGTGGCTCAGTGCACAGACTCTTTGGCGGCGACTATGGACGATCAAGCCCGGATCATGCAGTCCATCGGCGGGGTCAGTCTGGCCGGCCACTCCGTACAGGGGGGCATGGCTCTGCCGCCCCCCCACGGACACGACGGGACAGACGGGGACGGAAGGAAGCAGGACATCGGGGACATTCTCCATCAAATCATGACCATAACTGATCAGAGTCTGGACGAGGCGCAAGCAAAGTTGGTTGATTTATTTGCTTTATTAACCTGCCCCCCC